GCAGAGGAGCATGCGTGCGGGCTGCGATTCCCAAACTAGCTAGGGCCTCCCGGTGCCCGTGAGCCCCCCCACCCCCCCCACGGTGGACGGGCAGACAGTGGCACAAGGGCCAGTGGTGGGGGAAACAGAGCAGTTGAGGTGGGGACGGTGCCGGGCGCTGCCCTGCGTGGCGCGAAGCGGTGGTGCGCCAGCGGCAGAGCGGCGAGATGCAGGGGGGCACCTGTGGGTGGGTGCGTGGGTCAGTTGGAGGAGAGCAGGGAGCTGTGGGAGGACAGGTCCATGCTGCTGGCGCTGAGGCCTCTGCTCTCTGCACGGAGGCCCTGAGTGCCCTGGAAAAGACTTGTGAGGACCAGTACCTGCAATCCACAAGCACGCCCCAGAGCTGCCATCCCACCTCCCGCACCCTGCAAGCCAGGACTCCTGCTCCCCCAACATTATCAGCCACGTTAGGTGCCACTTCTACCCTCCCCACTCCCATTCTGTGACTGAGCATAGTGGTGGTTAATTGGAAGCAACACCTGCAGATTTGGAGCTATGATCTCAGAAGAGATCCACCATACCCAGGGGGTAACAGTGGGGGCACCAGGCCAGGCCACCTCTTAGGAAAGCAGAGTAACTTTAGCACTGCGGAGTACCTCTGCATGGATGAACACTCAGATGCAATCCTGGGCACCACATGTGTGGCCCACTGTGCCCCTCACCATTTCTGTTGCTGGCCACTGCCCTCAGAGCCAGCTGCAGCCACACAGCCCCCACCCCAGTGCCCATTCCCGTACCAGCCCTGCTGCCTAGCTGGTGCTTACCTCAAATGAAGCATCACTAGACTTGTGCAGGTAATTTAATGACGCAGCTCGTTTCATGCTACAAGAAAGCAGAGGAGAACAGGTGTGATCTCGTTGCACCTGGCCAGACCCCAAAACCCCAAGGTGGTAGGGCCCCCATCTGGCTCTGTACCCAGCCTGGCCCTCACAGCCCTGGTACCTACCTGGTGTTCCTGGGCTCCAGTGGACCATTGCCCTGCAGTTTCTTGACCAACATCTCACTGCTCCTCCGTATCACATCCCGGATTTTCCCCAGGGAGCTGCTACGCTGGAGGGTGCCACTGCCATCCTGGACACAGAGACACAAGCCGGGGCTCTGGCATGTTGCAGACCAGGAACTGGGCTTGGCCCTAAAAACTGTCTTGCCCACTTGCACTGATTTAGCTGTGGCCCAGAGCAGGCTTACTGCTCACTACATGGCTCCTTCTCGCCCTGGTTCTCCATAGGACATGATGACCATGGAGCTGGGGACTCCCCCCACCATGGCCTGGCTCACCCAGACCAATCCTTCCTCCTGCCCAATGCAAGCCCAACACCCAGCCAGGCTGTTGACCTGCACCAGGCCACCAGCACACGTGGCACTGGCATCCCCACAGCCCTGCTCAAACATGGCATAGCTCCACCATCTGCAACAGTTCAGGCAGTAGCTACCATGGAGGTCCCAGTGGCCAGCGAAGCACCAAGTCCTGACAGGAGCCAGGACATTCATTTCAAGAACTCCCTCCCCATTTGCTGCTGGCTGGAGACTATCCTCCCCCTCCTCCTGCCCTTCCTCACCATGCCGTTGCTATTCCTCCTCTCCATCCAGCACTTGTCCTGACACACATCCTGGTCCTACACATGCCAGGCCTGCAGGCTCACGCATGTCAGACAAGACCAGCCCATATGCACACATGGCCATGTCCCACCTCTAACACCCCCCCCCCCCGCTTTGAGCCTGCTGAGCAATTCGGGCAGCTCCATTTGGGATGCACTCATTTGGCTGCACCAACACTGTGTTGCCAAGCAGGCACCACTTTTCCCAGTCCCCCAGCTTCAGCTGTGCCTGGCCCCACCGGCTGCCCTGGGGTGACACTTTGCAGGGGTTTCTTTACAGCGGCCTGCTCTTTCCAAAGAACAAAACCAGCCCTAAATCTTGTTCCCCAGCCTAATTCCTCCCACATTCCCCCCAAAATTCCCAGTACTCAGAAAGGCACTCTCCATCTCCTGTGTTCAGCTCCATGTGCAAGGCACAGACTGCCAGCATGACACCACCTCATGCCACTCTGCCATCGTGGCAGCAAGCTCTTCCTCTGTGGCCAGGCATGCTCATTACACAAGGTTGTGGCACCACTGCTGATATGGAATTAATTTTGCTCTCATGGCCTAATAACAGCAGTCCTCCCTGCTCCTGATCCCAATGGCCCCTGGCACATCAGGGCAGAAGAAACAGGTAAGGTGACTGCAGAAGCCCTTTGCTCCTTACAAGCATGTGTGGGAGCCCTTTTGTACCACTCCAAATGACCAACATAGCCCAGGCTAGCAGCAGTGGTTGCTCCAGGACTGTCCATGCAGCTCTGCAGGTAAGCACGGTCTCTGTCAGTCACCCCCTTGTGCTGACCACTATGGGCTGTAGCCCTGGGTAAGGTTTTTCCAACACTTCCCCACTCCAATTACCCAAAGCTGATCGAGCCCTAGACCCCTCTCCAACACCTGAACAGGACTTTTCCTACCAGCAAACCTTTCTCCTGGCATTCATCTCACCCCTTCTTGGATAAACCAAGTGCATTGAAACTCTTCACTTTCTCATCAGGATGAGAGATTTCCAAACTGGAAGTCACGTGCTGTTGCTGCAGGGGACCCGCTCACCAGGAACGCGGAGAGCACCAAAAGTATTGGCAAGATATACAATTCACCTCCTGCATTAGGAGCCATGGGCAGGTTTTGGAGGAGCTAGCCATCAGCACATGGCACTAGCAAAGACAGGGGTAGTGTCTTTTGTCTTCTCACCAGACTTGCACCGCGTCACCACCCTCCCTTGCAGGGTGCTGCCATACCAGGCACTGTTCCTTTCACCAGGGCACACAAGCCAGGGGTGGAGAAGGGAACACAGATGGGGCAGGGGAGCAGGACCATAGTACAAGAACAGTAGGATCTGGCCAGAAAGTATGCTGTGGGGTCACGGCTGGAGGATGGAGCCACATTTCCGCAGATGCAGTGATGTAGACTGACTGCAGACCAACACCAGAACCAAACACTGCTGCATGCTGGGTTAAAAATAGCTTCCCTTCTCTCTCCACTTCTTTTTCTGAAGGGTTATTTTTAACCCAGAACATTTATGGGGCTTGGTTTACTGCAAAGCCCCCACCCCATTGCACCCACCAGGATGAGAGCACTCAAAGAAAAAGCAGCAGCTCCCCCACTGAGCTGCTCTCTGCTGCATGCTCCCACCCTGCCTGCTGCATGGAGGCAGAAGGCTTGGGCGTGATTTGGCAGCACGCTGCAGCTCAGCACTGGTAGGCACAAAGGGATATTTTTCTGGCTAATAGAAACACCTGTTGGGGAAGGCCCAAGCTCAGATGCCCCAGGGCAGTCCTGCCACACATGGCTACAGAGCTGAGGTTAGTAGCAACCCTGGTTTGGAGGTTAGGAAGAGGCTCAGTGGCATTGGGTCCCTCATCTCCAATGCTCAGCCTAGGAGAGGTGCCCTGGGGGCAGCACAGCCCTCCCCCACCACCACACAGACACCAAGCACCCCCACACCTGCTCCAGCAGCATTTGCACCCACCATCCCAGGGCTGACCGACGCTGGCCTACAGAGTGTGGAAAGAAGCACAGGGCAGCGGTTCGGGTCTGTCTACCTTTAATCAGAGGTATGGTTGTTACAGCACCAGGTCCAGGACATGGCAAAGCACAGGAGCCAGTGGCACTGAGGCCTGAACACACCCTGCAATGGGGACTCACCACTCTCCAGGAGCATGGAGCAGCACTGGGAGAGAGAGGCAGGGAAGGTGCAGCCCTAGAGCACTCAGCCCTGGACTCCATACCCCATGGTCCTTTCAGCAAGCACAAGCTCCCAGGAGAGCAGCATGCATGTGCCCCAAGGCCTCTGTATCACCACGGGAAAGCCAGGCCCAGACAGACACAAGCACAACCTGCCAGGTGACTAGCATAAGACAAACTATCTACCTAAATAAATAAGGGGGTGACCTGCACTGGCCTCTGGGCTCTACCCTGCTGGCTGCAGCCTCCCCAGCTTTATTCCCAGGTAGGGAATAAGGGAATAAAGGGCCAGGGAGGTTCACTTCCTATAGGAGATGAGAGGAAGGTGTGCACCCAAGGGTGTGAAACTCAAGGTAGTGTCAGTCTGGCCATGGGAAACGTCCCTTTTCTCCAGTAGTGACCGAAGCACCAGACCCTGTGCAGGCCTGGAGTCCCATCAGAGGCACTGAGCCACTTCCCACACACTAAGGGTCAGCACTGTCTTCCTAGAAGTAACAGGGTTACAGATTTTCCACCCACTTGGCTAGGGACAGCCAGACAGCAAGCCATAGCCCCAGGGACCATGCCTGGCAAGCCAGGTCCTATGTTCAAGAACTGCCCTCCTTCATGAGCATCCTGACCCCTTCTCCTCTGGAAACCTCCCTGCAGCCATTCCACCTGCCCCAACATGCTCAGAGCACTCAAGCCCCAGCTCCTCCTTTCTTCATATCCTTCTTTGCACCTCCTTTTTCTCCCAACCATTCTGCTCCAAAACAGCCCATTCCCCATTTCAGCCACTTCTAATGGCCTGGGGTCTGGCACTTACAGAAAAGTTCTCTTTTCTCCTACCCTTCTCTCTGCCTCCAAGGAACAAACAACAGCTTCACCATGGCCTCTCCCTCTGCCAGCAGCAACACAACACCTGGGGACCCTGGAGCAATGGGGAGCAGATTCATCCCTTAATGTCATTAGGTGAGAACTTGGCTACAGCATCAGGTCAGGAGGTTGCAACTTATCCTTATCCTGGCATGTCTCTGTTCCACTCACAGCCCTTGGCTGTCACCCCCTCGCCTCATCTTGGATGTACATTAGCTATGGGCCAGCCCTACATTCCTGTACCCCTGCAGAGAGACCCACATGCTGCCCCTGGGTTGCAGAGCTCAGCAGGAAGACAGCAAGATAGAGACTGCCCTGTGTGGCAGGGAGAGCCCAGCTCATTGGTGGCCAGTGCAGGTTTGCTACAGGGCACTAACATCAGCTAAGCCTACAGGGAAGAAAGGAACTGGACACACAGCAGCCTTGCCAAGGCCAGGCCTCTCTGTCCCAGAACAGCCCCATCTTCATGCCTCCATCCTGGCCTCTGCAGAGATGGAGGGAACAAGCTAGGAGGGTTGAAGGATGTCTAATGACAGTGGAGTCGGCAAGCCTGGAGTGAAGAAAATCCCCCGCAGGCCTGGTCCCCAGGGATGTGCAAGGGCAGGCTGGGGGTGGGGGCACGCAAGGGGACGGTGGCCCATCGCCCTGGCCTGGGGGAGCAGGCAGCTCCTCGCAGATTCTTCCTGCTCTTGCTGGCCATGGGACTGGAGCTGGGCCACGTGGCCAGGCACTCCTCTGCAGGCGTCGCGGTGCCCTCGCGCGCCGGGAGGGTTGGGGGACTGGCGTGGAGTTCTTGCCGAGGAAGGAGGGATGGTGTGGAGGAAAAGTCGGAAGATACAACACAAACATCCAGGTGATTGCGGTGGAGGGGAAAGAGGGAGTCTCGGGAGGCATTTAAGCCTAGTGCACAGAGAGGAGAAAGACACAATTTACAAGGCCGTGAGGTTGTAGGTCACCCAGGGAGCAGGTGGGGCAGGGCCCAGGCTGCATGCAGAGACAATGGACCATGTCTGGGCAGGGAGGGAGTCTTGTGAGGCTGAAACAACAGACTCACATCTTTGCCAGCATGCTCTAGCAGGCTGGCAGGAACATCTAACTCAGGGTATAACAGCCTGGGCTTCCTGCTCTGAGGGCTCCCTGCTCCTGGGCCTTGGGCATGGGGTACCTGCCAAAGCCTCAGCACCACTGAGCTGGTGCCATCCCAGACCCTGGATCTCCCAGCCCAATTACCTGGGCCGCAAGTAGCTGGTCCAGGCCCTGGGGTGCTTCCAGAGCTGCCCTTGGCAGCAGGGCATGGAAGTTGCTGGCACCCTGGGGGCTCCCATGGCCCTGCCTACAGCAGCTGACAGCTAAGGGGTAGCAGCATATCCAAGGTCTCTAGACCAGCACAGGGAACAACTGGCCATAACAGACAGGAACAGCAGGAGCTGCCTCAGTCTTCTTTCTGGGGGAGCTGCAGCCCAGTACAGGGCTGCTGGCTGGGGAGAGGAGGCTGGCTATGCATGCAGCATGCTAGAAAAGGCACCGAGCATCATGTGGCAGCAGCTGTGTCCCCCAGGGTGCTGGGCCAGCCCTTGAACCCTCTATCTACAGCTGGCTGGGCCAGGGAAGCCCTGCCAAGCCCTCTGGGGAAGGGTCATAGAAAGAGGGACTATCCCCCTGGGCTGGGTCACAGGGTAGTATTGCCTGCTTGCCTTGGGATGACCAGCTCAGAGACTGTCAGGAAGGTCTCCCAGACCATCACCAGTGCAAAGCGATCACCCAACACCCACAGCCAGGAGGAACCATAGAGAGATACTGGCCAGGACAGGGACCAGGTGATCCTAATCCAAACCTGCAGCTGTCCCTCTGTGTTTGCTAGCCCCTCAACTAACAGGGAGTACAAGGGCCCAAGGTTGGTGCCTTGCCAGGGCTAGGACCCTCTTCACTCTTGATGGCACAGAGCTGGGACAAAGGAGAGCCCTGTATCTGTCAGAGCTGCCAGGTCCCCTCAAAGCTCTGCTCCGCAAGGTCTCCTCCAGTCACCTCCTGGGTACAATCCACAATCAAGAGAGCCAGCAGGCTTCAGGCTTGGGTGTTGAGGGGCTGTCATGGCAACACAGAAGAGGAAGGAAGGGAGCTCATGCAGGTGAGGATAGAGCCGAGCCAGGTGGAGAAGGGTTAGTGACAGTAGTTGGGAAGGGAGAGAGAAGGATTCGGAGTGCTCAGTCTATCACCTGTGCCAGACTGCAAAAACCCCTGGGTACCCAGCTACACTATGCTCCCAACTAGAGTTTGCAGGAGGCATGGTAAGTGTTAACAGCTCTAGCAGCCCTTGAGCCAAGCACCCACCAGCACCATGCTCACTTGCTGCCTCTTCTCCATCCTCCTCCTTGCAGGAGACAAAAGGCACCTGTCCCAGACCTGGACTGCTACCTTTCTCCAAACTCAGTGCTAGTGACCAAAGTCCCCTCAGTCTCAGAGCAAGCCTAGACAGGCTCAGTTCACCCTGGCTGTGTCTCGGCTAACACCAGCCTCTTTTGACACCTCTTTGCCACTGGTCAGTCTGGCCTGGCATCCCACAAAGACCTGCCTTTTACCACCTCTGCTTGGCTAGAGCCCACAAAGGACATGAGACCAGGAGAGGGGGACTGGAAAGATGCTGGCTGCAGACTATTCCTGTGCCCTGCAGTCACTCAGTCACAGACACACCAGGCACATACACACCCTCCCCAGGCTCAGCATCGCCTGTGGTGCAGTGCAGGACAGACAGCCAAGTTGCTCAGAGGCTGCGTGGGCCTGAGATAGGGCCGATGCTCTCAGCCAGGGCCTCAAGAGGGGAGCAGCAGGGAGATATGTTAATAAGGTTGCAAGGCTAAGATTAAGGGCAGACCAGAACCAGCTCATGCTGTGCACTGTGAGAGCCTGGCAGCCCCCTGGAAGCAGGAGCCCCTAGTTGGGGATATCTGGCCTGTACACCAGAAGCCAGGCCCAGACACACACCTTTGCGGGCTGGCTGGCTCATACCAAGAAAGAGGGGAAGGAAGTGTGCAGGGAACAAATGGAGGCAGACAAGGATGCCACGACAGGCCACGCGGGGACAGCCCTGAGCCAGGTTGTCCCTTCCCTCTGGCAGCCGGCTGAGGCCATTCTTGATGGTGTCTTGTACTTACCCCGCTCCATTCCACGCCCATACTCACTTCCTCGCTACCGTCTGTGGCATTCTCGTACTTGACGCTGCCCCCCAGGCTCCGACGTCTCTCTGTGCCATCACTCTCCTTCAGGATCTCCACCACCTTCGTCTGGTTGATCGGGTCAATGCCCTGCAAGTAGAAAGGGATAAGGAAGCACCATGTTTTGCCCTCCTGTGTTCTTTCCCTCTAGCGATCTGCTGTACCATCACTGTACTTAGTCCCATCCCCTCTCTTGGCCACTGTCCCATCACAGTCAAAATTCTCCAGCACATGAAGGATGGAGCCAAATGTTATCCTGCACTTAGAAGTCCCTATTGGGGTTCTCAGATCAGTGAGACCCCTGGCAAGCCATAAACCACCCTGGGGGACAAGGGCTTTGCTACTCAAAAGCTGACAGCTTTTTTTCTTAACATTTTGGTGCGTGAAGGCTTCTGCCATCCTTCAGTCTTTCTACAGCTCCTGCTTTATTATTAGAGGATTGAGAGGAGTTTAGGGTGAGAGGTACTCTAAGAAATCCCTGATGTGTAACCTGGACAAAAAATTAGTGTGAAGAAAACATCTCAGTGCGTGCAGATCTCTTCAATAGCTGACAAAGCCCAGTAACCTGCCCTAACCCAGCTGCAGTATTTCTGCACTCAGTGCGCCTTCCTCCCCACATGTACACACGCTGACATCTGCTCCATCCATGCACACATGCACATTCAGAACTCCACACATGTACACACAAATACAACTCCTACCACCAAGGTGCTCTGGTATGATGGGAATATAAACTGAGGATATCAGATGCTGCAAGGCCCAGAAGAGTTCCTCATCACACCCCAAGCCAAATGCTGTGGCATGATCTGCCACCCTGAGCCCCACAATGTCCCCTCCACCAGGGAAGGTCCCTCTGGGGTTACCTGCCGCCGAGAGCGAACTGCACACTCCTCCAAGGTCTCAGCTGCCTCTAGCTTGCCCTGGCGTCGGTACAGCGCACCCAGGTTCCTCAGAGTGGTGTTCACAGTTGGGCTGCAGTAACAGATGGAAGATGAGCATGAGCCCTGGGGCCACCCCCTCCAGAACCCAGAGCTGCCCACAAACCACTGCTTACCTGCTAACCTTACAGGCCTTGTACCAGCCACCATACTCAGCGTAGGGAGCACTGTCTCTATGCTTGCTCTACAGGATGAAGAGAGATGCGAGCTGTTAGCCCCATGCCTACTGCCATTCTCTGGCCTGTGCTCTCCTACTGGGTCCCAGGGTCAGGCCCCAGGCTGCACCCCTGCACCAGCCCAGCCTTTGGAAACACAATGTGCAAATGCAGTCACAAATCCCAGCAGGTTCCTGCAGGGAAAGCTGAAAGCCCATTTGCTGCAACACATTTGGGCCACAAGTAGAAGTGATGTCCCCACCCCAGCAAGGAGCCCCCTTCCATGGTACTAAAGGCAGCAGGGACAACACAGTCCATCTTCACAGTGCTCTGGAGGACATGACACTACCCCAGCATGCAAGAGTGAGACAAAAACCTCCAACAAAAACCCCATAGGCATGCCAGGCAGCATGGGCGCTAAACCCCTCAGTCATAGCCAGCAAAGGAATCAGCCAGCCACATGTAAGCTTTCTGCCTCCAAGGTCAGGCCAGTCCCACAGCAGCCCAGTCCAGCTAGCTGTCTCCTCTCCATGTCCAGCCTTTGTACCCCAAAGCTGGCTGGCCCTGCAACAGCCAGGAGCAGAGAAGCTGCTGACCAGAGCAACAGGAGAGGAGGCAGAGCTTGATACTCAAGGAGAAAGACCTAGGGCCAGGACAACCCACTCTGCAGAGCACTGTGTGCTAGCCAGCATTGCCCTGCATCAGTAGGGACAGTGACACCTGCATGAAGGAAGCCCCACTGCTGCAGGAGCAGGGCTGCCTGTCCACACGCTGTGCACCCTGGTGCATGGCAAGTACTTGGGGGTCTGCCCTGCCCCTGGCTCTGAACCCACAGGACACAGGGGCTGGGCAAGAAGCACCCAGCTCAGCCCCAAGCACAGCAGGGCTGCTCTCACCGAGCAGGTGAAGGAACCACTGCTCCACAGCAGGAGTTTCCCTCTGGCAAGGGATCTAGCCCAGAAGAAACTATCTTCACAAGGACCATTTTTCTTATTCAGTCTCCAGAACTTGTCAGATCTTTACCCCACATGCTAGGGTCTCTCTGAGCCATAGGCACATGCGGGTTTCCTTGAATCAGAGCCTACACAGCCTGGACAGGCCCCAGGTACAGGAGGACTCAGGACTCAAAACACCTCTGAAGCTTGCATAGAGGCAACTCTAAGAGGGTAGGGGAACCCAAGGGGAAAGGTGTCAAATCCCCTGTGGCAGAAGCAGCCTCGAAGGTCAGGACTGCTAGTTGTGCCCTGCTGCTGGCACAAGAGGGACACCTGCCCTTCTGTGACTGAGAGCCAAGGGGAAAGAAAAAAGGAAGTGAAGCTCTTCAGGAAGTGTTTGAAGCTTTTTAATAAAAAAATGTGGAAACACAGCACAAAGGAGAGCGCAGTAGACCTAGCCCCTGGGTGAGCAGCATGAACAGTATGTGGTTACCACTGCCTAGCCAGGAAGGCCATGTCAACTACATCATGCCACAGGGCATGGGCACAACTGCCCTGGGGACAGGAGCAGGGAAAGAGGCTCAGCCCTTGCCCAAGGCTGTAAAACAAATCTCACTCCAACTGTAGGTCCCCAAGCCCTGTAGCAAAGTTTGAATTATCTGGAGCATAGCTTCACACTACAACTATCTACATTTGACCCCTTAATTCTCAAAAAATGTGTCTCAATCCCAGAGGGTACAAGGGGAGCCTGGTCTCTACTCCAACTTTGATTTCTCCTGTATAGGATGGTGCTGCAGCAAGTGTAATTTCTTTGCAGCAGAGCATCCATAGGAGAGTAATCAGAGCTGCCCTGCACTGAGGACTGCACAGAACAGTTCAATGGGAAGACACAGCATGCTCGTGGGAGGCAGCTGCTACTGCCCTGCTCTTAGGACTCGCAGGATAGGACTGGTAAGTCACTAAACCAAGCCTGCCAGCCTGCTGTCTGAGCCCATGTGGGGATGGGGCCTGCTCTGAGGGTAAAGGATAGGGAAAGAGACAGTGCAAAGCTCCCACCGCAGCTAGAGGACTAGACCAGAGTCCTTCATTCTTCTGCTTCATCCACCTGCCAAAAAGCAGGTGACGTCTTAGGCTTGGGGAAAAGCAGAGACATGGCTCTGTTGCATTTATCTGTGCTCTTGCACAAAGAAGGGCCTGAGCAAGAGGAGCAACAGCTTCTTTGCCTCTCAGCTTAGTTCAAAGCAAGCACAACCCATGTCTATCCTCTTTGACAAGACAGCTAGGACATAGAACAACTAGGGCCTGCCCTGTGTAGAGATCTTTTCCAGGAGGTTTAGCTCTTTCTTAAGCAAGGTGATGGCAGCAGTTCCTCCTTGACCTCCATTTTTCCTCATGCAGCCTTTAGGGCTGCTTCAGAAGCAGGTTGTGCTCTGGGTACTAGCAGCTCTTTGCAACAGAGTGCCAAGGCCCTGCAGCACAACCCTTTGCCATCCACAATCTTTCATCATATGTGTGCCCCAGAGGGATCACTAAATCAAAAAGAGAGCATGCAGCCACGGTCAAGATGCTGAACAATCCCTCCTCCCCAGGAAAAGCATCAAGCACTCTGATGGCCTTCCCTCCCTTCCCCAAGGAGCTGCCACACTCCCTCCCCACTCTCCAGACCCCTCCTGGCCTTCATCAGTGACCACAGCAGCTCATCAGACTGCAGGAAGGAAGGTCTGGGTGTGATAAGAGAGGATCAAAACCCCTGGATTTCCTTCCCCTCCCTGGGCTCTTGTTACTATCAACAGGTAGCACCACTAGCTCAGACTCACCTTGCTCATCTCCTCCCTCTCCTCCGCGTGCATCCAGATTGGCTTATGCTCATCTGTGTGGGGAAGAATGCAAGACAGCTCCACTCATTACCTTGCCCTGTTGCTCTGCCACTTCCACTGGGGCTCTGACTCCTGCACAGTCCCACACTTTGTCTCTAGAGCCAGAAGCTCACTAGAGGCAAGTGACAAGGCTTATAGATTTCCCTGGTCCCTAAGTCAGAGCCACAAGAAAGGCAACCAACACTGCAAGGGCAGGACAGCAGAAGGAAGGAAAAAGCTCTCCCATGGTATAATACCCGTGCCAGGTGTACAGGAGAAACTTTGGCCTATGCCTGGGAATGATTGTGCCACTTGCTATTCCCCTTTTTAGCCACAACTACTCCCAACCCAGTAAAGACTGACAGCCAGAGCTCTCCAAGACCCCTTCTGAGAGAAGGGGTTGAGCAGCATAACACACTAGAATGGCAGTGTCTCAAGGGCTACGCAAAGCAGGGGCCCTGCAAGGCATTCCATCCCCCCGCCAGGGGGATACCAGTACCAGCCAAGCCTAGGCTGAGAGCCATGACACCAAACCGCTCACCCTTCCCCAACCCCAACAGTTTCTTCTGTACAAACCATCCACAGAGCCAAACTCCTTCACGTGAGCACGGGTAAGGATCTCCTTATAGAGCACCTCTGCATCTTTGTATTTGCCTTGCTTCAGGTAACAGGAGGCCTGCAACCAAGAAAACAGCTCCAGCCCCACTGGGCAACACTCCGCCCCCTTCACAGCTATCCTTCCATATCTCCCAAGCACCAGGCAAAGCTAACCTTTTCACAGCACCACTCCCCATCCCCACAGGGCCTCTGCCCAGGCTCTCACCAGGTTGTTCTTAGTCTTGGCCACGTTGGGGTCATCAGGACCCAGGCAGCTCTCGTAGATCTCCAGTGCCCGGCAGTAATAGTACTCCACCTCATCATACTTGCCCTGGTTCTGGCACAGCAGGGCTAGATTGTTCAGCTGCTTGGCCACATCAGGATGGTCTTTGCCTAGGACCTGGGTAAACAAGAGAAGCCACAAAAAGTCAACACTGTAGTACCTCGAGAACATGCCCAAGTCAGACAAGAGCCAAAAACTAGGGAGGTAAAGATGAAAGATTTCAGTTTCCACCTCCTGGGAAACCCCTCTAAGGCTGAAAACACTGGAGAGACGGGAAAGGTGCTGGCAGAATCAGCAGCTAGAGAGTCTAGGTAGGTCCTGGATCTCACAGGTGCAGTGAGATAATGGGGGAAAACCCTTAGGGAGAGCTGGAGGGATTGAGAACATGGGAGACCATTACCTTCTCACGAATCTCCAGGGCTCGCTTACACAGTGGCTCTGCTTCTTTGTACTTCCCTCTCTTGCCATAGAGAACAGCCAGATTGTTCAAAGTTGCTGCCACCTGCAGAGACATAAGCTTCTCCATGAAACAAAGCAGAATCCAGTGGGACCAAACAAGGGATGCAAGCAGCAGTAACAGTGACTGTCTCATTTCCTTCATGCCTGCAATACAGCTGATTCTGAAGAGGAGGAGGTCCAGAGGCAGAAGGCTACCCTGTCTGCACTGCAGGATCCTGAAGAAGCTAACTCTTGACAGGCCATACTGAACAAGAAAGCAGGAAATACTGAAGCAGTAAAATAGAGCCCCACACCATGTGAACAGCACCCCTCATATCACAGAGCACAGTGCTGTCCTTGGTAGTCTCGCTGCAGACACACCATAAGGGCACCATTCTAGTCCCAGCAGCACCTACAGATCAAGGGAAGTGACTGAAAGGAGGGAGACACTCACCGCTGGATGATCTTTGCCCAGAGTCTTCTCACGGATGGAGAGAGCATCATTCAAGAGGTGTGCTGCTTCTTTGTATTTATTTTGATCCCTGCAGTGCAAAGTCAACCAGTTATTCAGGATTTGGACATCACAGCCCATAGCAAGTAGAATGCAAACAGTTCTCCTTCCACACAGATCCAGCTCTCACAGCCATTTCATTTCTCCATTCCTCCCTATCTTAGCCAGTCCCTAGTTTTATCAGGCAGTCTGGTAGTCCAAATACCTCTCCTGTGCCAAAACCTTTTTGAAAGGCACTGGAAGTTGGGGGAGCTCCCTGTCACCAGAATGAGCTCTCCTGGCCCAGTCCTGCCCTGCCCACCAATGTTCACCTGTACACTAGTGCCAGGATGTTGAGCATGGTGGCCACATCAGGGTGATCGTGGCCTGATGTCTTCTCCAGGTCCTCCAGCGCCTGCTTGCAGAGCGGCACAGCCACCTCATAGCGTCCCTGTGAGGCGTACTGGATAACAAGGTTGTGGAGGGTGCGCAAACGTGCAGGAATCTCATAGCCTCCCTGCTGGGCAGCTGCCACTGCACTGCTGTGCTGGTGGGGCACTGCAGGCACAGAGGAATAAACAGGGGCACAGTTGGCACAGCACGCTTGAACAGATACAGCCAGCAACCATGCATGAGCAAACACTTACATCCAGGACCATGCTCCTCCTCCTCATTCGGGAACAGATCATCCAGAGAGTCCTTGGCAGAGTCACCTTCCTTCTCCTCCTGAGAGGATGGGAATCACAACACTAGTGGTTCTCAGAAGAGTCAGCAGCAGCCTGGGCTGAGTCAGCTACCAAACTCTCCTCCCTGCTGCAGCCCACCAACACCCTCAACTTCCCCTGTTGTCTTTGCCACCATCTTCTCCCTCTCCCTTGCCCCAAAGTAATAAAGCCAAATTTGTCCAGCACATCCATGCTACTCCATGTTCTCCCAGAGACTCTGCCCCATGCAGGCTCCCTTTAGTTATATGCATTGCTGTGCACAGTACCTAGGAAAAGGCAAAATCCAAGGCAATGCTATCCCACCTAGGCAATCCTGCTGGTCCAACCTCCCCCATCCCTAAAGGTGGCTTGCTTGACTAGGGCATACCGAAGGTGAGACATCCTCATCATATTTCTTCAGCTGGTTCATGAACTCAAGGTGTTTCTTCTCCTCCTCTAGCTGAGCCACGGTTTGCTCACTGCGCTGCAGCTTCTGCTGAGTGTTGGCAAGCTCGTCACGCAGCCACTGGTTCTCCTGGCACAGTCTCCGCACCTGAGCGCGCAGTTTCTGCTTCTCTGACTCCACAGCATTCAGATGGTTGGACAATGCCATCATCACCTTGTCAAAAGTCCCAGTCAGTAAATATCACAATTCTGTATCTCCCTCACATGCATGCTCAGAGCCCACCCTCAGCATCACACTGGCCTTCTACATTCAGCCCCCTGTTGCCCCTGCAGCTTACAGGGAATGGCCACATGCCTGCCTTCCCCTGTCAGTCCTGGGCAACACCTAGGGGGTCACCCACCACTCTCACCTGAGCTTCTCCAAGACCCAGCTCAATCATTTCAACGGACTTGCGGAGCAGGTTGGATTTCTCATGCACAAGATTGGCTTCTTCATCTTTCTTCAGGCACTTGATGGTCTCCAGCAAGCTGTGTAGGATGGAGTTGTGCTCATTCTTGAGTGCCTCCAGCCCTTGCATCACCAGCTTGGTGTTGGAAATTATTTCCTCTTGGCTCAGCTTGTCCAGTTTCTCCTCCCTTGGATATACCATGGTGGACATAGTCCTGCTCCTGCAGCCCTACACAGAGAGAAAGATAAAATCTGAGTGCCTCAGTGATGTTTCAGAGAAGCCACAACAAGTGTCACAGCCTTCTTCAAGAAGCCAGAGACAGCATTCAACTGGTTGCCTACTCTAAGCCCTTCCGCTCCCTTTGGCAGCGGGCAGCTGTCAAGGCACATGTCTCTGCTTTTGTGGCACAGAGTGCTGACAACCAGTGCTGGTAGCACTCGTGGACAGGAGACAAAAAGGCTAGAATCAGTGCTGACCTACAACACCACCATACTCCCGCAGCAAGGAAAGCTCATTTAGCTTCCATTTAAGAGCAGAGATTTGTAGTTGGCAGGTGGGGTTGCAATGCGTATACCTCCTGCCCCCAGACCACTGATGCAAGGAGGCTCTCAGAGCTCAACACCTCTTCTGACTGCAGAAGAAAGGGAACAGAAAGTGGACGGATGCCAGCTCAAAGCTTTCTTCTTCCTCAATGGAAAGATCTCCTGGAAGAGCATCCCTCAGACAGGGAGGTACCAGTGGCCTTACTGGGCCAAACAAAAAAATTCCCTGACCAGAAGAGTACACCCTGACAATCCTAGCCCTGGCACAGAACGGCCATTGTGTTGATAAGGAACGTAACACCACCAGCATGAACTGAATCATGCCTGTGTGGGAAAGCTTACATACACCAACTGCTACAGTGACACTAGTGTAACCCTCGTGTGGGTGTCAGCTTGAAACAGTAACAGCTTCTACAGCTTCATTTGCCCTACTGCCAGCCCAAGGACTCCTCAGGATGACACAAGGACTCTGTACCCCTTCCCCATCCCATTCCCCCCACATATACAACAGGAGAGTACTAAGTTACTGCCTTTGCACAGGGACACCAAGTGCTACAACCCACAATGTTAGTGCGGCTGCAAGATCCCCGCATAGAAAATCCAGGAGCTAGGGAAACACGCAGCAGGCCAGAGGGCGAGAGACATAAGAAGCAAGGCAAGACCTCTTACAGCAGGTTAACAGTACCCTGGCTGCTCCACAACTCACTCATCTAACCCTCCCTCAGCCTCCCTTTCCCCAGGTGGACCACACCAACAGTCTCTTCACATTATTCAGCAAGGGCAAGAAAGCCACCAGCCACCTCCTTACAGGTCACTCCAAGGCCAGCCTCCTGCAGGGCTGAAGGCAGCCCGCTGCAATGTCCTGCACAGGCAGCACCTCCCTGCTGCCCACGGCTGGCAGGAGGCACTGCCACCGGAGCACCCAGGGCCCTGCTGGCAGGAAGCTGGCACACTGCCCAGGCACCAAGCAGGAGGAGGTGCGGAAAGAGCTGCTGACACATTTGTCTTTGTCCTCCTGCAGGACCCACCTCTGCGTGGTTTGAGCTCTTTGTTCAGCAGCAGCAGCCTTGTGCCTGGTTTACTGAGCGAGCAGAAGTGCTGCCACGGGTACAGGAACCAAGAGACAGCTTCTCTTCTTGGCAGGGCTCCTCTCCTCCCCAGCTGTGTGCTCTGCCCAGGGGGACTCAGGGTAATCTCCCAGCTCAGCTACCACTATCCCTGCCCAGAAGTGGGCCCTTAGAAATAGATGGGTCCAGTTTCTTCCATCTTCTGAAAGCAAAGATGGCAAACAGTGCTGGGGCAGTTGCTGCAAGTACACACATCTCATTATACCTACCCATTCCCTCCTCTTTATCCTCACTCTTACAGAAATTCCTTGAGTTGCTTTATATGCCTGAGCTCTCCTCTCCACTCCTCTTTGGTTTCTGTTCCAGTGACACACATCCACCCCTCAGGAAGCACAGCAAACTCTCTACACACAGGGGAGGCATTACTGAACGTCAGCAGGGCAGGTACACTTCATGTCTCTTGAAGACTAGGTTCCTGTTCATATCTTTGAGCAAGAGCTGAGTCTTCCCTGCTACCCCAGAGTCACAATGCTGACTTCACATTCACTTCATGATCCAGCTTCTGCACCAACCCTGACCCATACCCAAAAGTGAGGGATACTGTTAAGTAGCTGCCATACTCTGCATGCAGTTACCCTGCACATTGTGCATTTTACACTGAAAAGTCTCATATGGACTGTGACAATTCCCAGTTTGCTTTAGAGAAGACCATAGAAAGATATGAAAATCCTCACTAAGATCGAGAGCACAGACTACTGTTTTGAAGAAAAGCAAGTCTGTTGAGAGTTGGCTGCCACTCATACCCTTGTCTTCCAAACTGATTCTCCTGGAACTGACAGCTCAGCATTCTGGTCCATAATTCCCCTTGTTACTCTTTTCACCACCTTTATAACATCTCTGGGGGAATGATCGAAGCAACAAGGGAAGCCCTGCCTAAGGCAGACTTCTGCAGGTGAGCACAATTCAGGAAAAGATGTGCAACAATTCCCAGCTCCAGAGGAAGAGGCTGGCAGCCCAAAGGACACTAACTACTACTGCCACATCTGGCAAAGAACTGTTGTCCTACTCTGAAAAGGGTCCAGACAGCCTCCCAGGAAGGCTCAGCAGGCACTTACCTGCTTCCACAGAAGCCAAGGTAACAACTGCTAAAGGGTGAAATGGCCTCATCACTGCTTTCAGCTCATAAGGAAACAGCCCAGACTCAGAAACAAGTAAATCAAGAAGTGGGAGTTCTCTGGAGCACAGGCAAGGCTTGGGACACAAGGAGCTCCCCAGGAGCAGTCTTATACCCAGCATACAACAAAACTAGAGCTCTGCTCTAAGGCTTATGCAGCTGTGCAGCACAAGTGCCTCTTCATCTGTCCCTCTATGTACTGGGTCAGCTTGAAATGCATAGAGTTTTAATGGAAGCATTACTTATATCCATACAGAGATCCTGCTGCCACCTTCCAAAGTACAATAAAAACGCATTGGGAAGAGGAACATGTTGCAAATCATGATAAAAACCCACCAGAGTTTGCACCTTGCTAGATAAGTCAGACAAAACCCAGATCCATAGAAAATCAGCCTCATTAATTCCACTGTGCACAGAACTACTCCTCAACTGAGAAATCGCTGAGCTAAGTGTTAAACCACACTCAGTTCCCCTACTACAGCAACAACCTGTCTTTCTTCAGCCCTTCCAGCAGAAAAAGCTTCGAGCATTTCAGAGTCTCCACCAACAACTTGTTTTTCAGAACTGTAAAGCTTTCAGATTGAGAAGGAAGAATCATCAAAACATCCTGACCCACAGCACTTCAGACTCCTCCTACCCTGCAATTACATTCGCAGATCCTCAAGACATACTAATACAAGCTTCTCTTCTCTCACTGGCCGTTCATACACCTCTACACATCCCCTAGGATGACATCCTAGAAGCACAGCCCTGCTAGATACTGACATGCTTCCAGTGTTAAAGGGTGGACAGGGGATTATCCAGGCTGGATACAGGGTATAAAATCTGAAAACAGTGCATGGGCTGTTTACTTTCAACTACCAACAAGAAAACAAAGAGAAGATTGCAGAAGAAGTCACTTAAATGCTGCTACCTCTTGCACAGAAAAAAACCCCAACAAGCATTGGTGGGAGCTGACTTATCCCTCCAAAGTGACAATTCTTCCCTACAGAGCCTTATTTCCAGCTCTCTCTAGTGCTGGCAGGTCTACACTCAGTGCTCAGCCTTCTAGAGCCGAAACATACTCTATGGCAACTGACACCAAGGTCAGGCAGGCTGAGGCTGCTGTATAAGCACTCTTCCTACTCCCACACATTCAGCAAAGGGCACTGAGTGTCGTTTATCCAGGCAGAAAACACACTTTGAGGTTCCTGCAGAGAGGAGGTGATACACTGTCATTTGCCTTTGGCAGGGAGAGGTTCAGACTGGAACAGAAAGAATGCTTTTCCAATAAGTTCCTCAGGAGATGGAGTGCCCAGCTCCTAGTTTATCCCGCTGCATTCCTCACAGCTCTGCAGGTGTCACGTCCCAGGTCTCCATCAGCATGTTTCCGCTCTAGTTGGCATGTCTTCCCTATTTACAGTGAGCTGCTAGAATAGCCTGGCTTTCTGGCAACACCCATCTCATCTTCCCCTCCCCTGCTCCCATTTGGAGGAGTGCTGCAGGAAGACAGGGAGGGAAGACGCATGCACTGAGCTTTGTGGCACTTGCAGCAACCAGCTGGGCATCCATCAGCTAGCACATCCTGCCTGGCAGAAACCTTCCTCCTGTATTCAAGTGCATAACCAGGAAATCATTGAGCATCAGCTATTTCAGCAGCCCACTTTTCTGCCTCTGAAAACTGCTCCCACATGCAAGAGCTTTAGGAGGAAGGAGCTGGAAGCTTCATTGCTTCTATCTCAAATCCACAGCAGCTGCCACAACAGAAACAAGGATGCCAGACTAAATGGGTCCAAGTGAATCTTAAAGTTTAATTTATGATGCCTAATGCTAGAAGGCTACAGAGAGAGGAAAAGAAAAGCACCCGAGAAATCAGGAGTCAACTACAACAGGACAGAGACTTCAGGTCTACATATGCCTCAACAAATTCAGTTCACTGCCTCCCTGCACGTCCCTGGACCAAGTATGAGAGACAAAGGGTACCATCACAACTTGCACAACCGATACTGTCAATTGCCACTTCCTTCAAACTGCAGATGGCCTGCCAGCACTTACTGTACAGAACTGGGCACAGAATTTTAGCAGCAAACTATTCTGTAGGAGAAGGTGATCTAAGGATATGGTAGTTGCAGAAAAACAAGTGGGTTCTGGAAAACCTTCCCGTGGAAAGGAGTAAGTCTGACCCATAGCAAGAAAGAGTGACCACATTTGGAAGGTATATAGCAATGGTAGCATTTAGCAATGGAAACACAGGGCTTCAAGTCTTATTCTCACAATAATTATCCCAGTCTCATACTGTGAGACATGCTTTTGTACCTGGAGAAACAGCAAAGTTATACATTTGGGAAGCAAATGAACTTGATAAAAGCAGGGAGGGTTTTTTCTCCTCTGGACCTCTGCCAGCTCATTACTGTTAAACAACAGAATAAAGGGTCTCTGGAAAGACTGGTTGACCTCCAACGAAGCTAGACGTGAGATTGCCAATATACAGCTGAGTCTCCACCACTAGGTTTTGCAACAAAACCTAGACCTAATACCTTGGATGCTGAAAAATAAAACAAAAGCAGTAAAAAGCAGACAGAGTGCCAAGATTGCAACCATCGCAGAGGCTGTATCATGAGCACAAGTTTTCTCCTTATTTTGATAGTGTCAGAAAGCAAACAGAGACTGTAGGAGACTATAGTCAGCTGTGCAGAGCCTCTGAGACTTCCACTGCACAGCCAGGACACTTTGACGCTGCCAGGCAACTTGCGCACTGACACATCACTGCCAAAAGAGCCACTGTGCTGAGGGTCACCACCCCAGGCCACCCGCAACAGAGCCACAGATAAAGGATGAAGTGGTGCTCCTGAGCTGCACATCTAACAGTCAGCATTTCCAGAGCCACTTCAATATGCGTAAAACAAGAAATATAATCAGCTCTGTATGGTGCATAAGAACTTCAGAGCTAAGAGCAGCTGCGCACACACGTTAAGGCTTTAGAAACAAAAGCAAGAGAAGGATGTTTTGCAAATGAAGGGACAGATGGTGTGCAGTCAGCTTCAGGGTAACACTAAGAACTGCAACATGAATAAGAGCCAGAAGTTAGAGGGCAAATGCTGGACTCCTAAAAGTAAAAACTGGTAGAATAATTGCAGTACATGGCTCCATCCTGGGCACCTGCTGAGGTTCACGTGAGGCACAGAGCAGAAATGGTGCTCTGTGATTGTAAGCACTGCCAGAAATGCCTGGTACTCCTGCTCCCTTAAAGCCACTAAGAACACACAAAAGGGAGATCAGTCAGGGGTCAGCACCTCAGGAGTTCATACACAGCATGTCTCTGAGCTACAATCCCAAAGCGGTCACTCAAACTCTGATGTGCATGCCACCATTTGTCTCCGTATCATGTGTTTTTCCACCCTAGTGCCAAAAAAGGGGGTACCTAGAGCCCCACCTTCTTCTCAAAGTTCTTTCCTAACCCCAAGCTCCGGCCTGGACTTTTCCTGCACTGCAATCTCGAGAGTCAAATCAACACAGAGATGGCTTCAAGCACCATAGAGAGATTATTGTGTTGCAACTTCCTCCCTATTAAAAGAGTCTGACTGTTGTATTACTTGGAAGGGATGCCTAGATGTCTCTGGTACATCCCCTCACTCAAAGCAGGTATCTGATCAGGGATCTGTGTCTAGTCAAGGGTTGAGTATCTCCCAAAATGGAGATTTCACAAGCTTTTCAGACCCCTGTCCCATGGCTTAACTGTCCTCATGTGGGAGGGAAAAAAAAAAAAAAAAAAAAAAAAAAAAAAAAAAAAAAAAAAAAAAAAAATTCTCATCTGAATTCCTTAGATAAACTCCTTATTACATTTTCCTTTGCTGAACACCACTTCAGGACAAAAGGGCCAGGCACCACAGCACTAGAAACTGACCCTATGCCCAGAGGAAGGGAATGCAGCACATGCCTCCTTTCAGCAGGGTCCCATGGGGTCAGGCTCCCTCTGTCCCAGAGCAAGAGAGGCAATGTAATGCCCCTCGAGCAGCAGAGCAGAGAGTGGAGGCAAGGAGCTATCCCACCCACATTCTCCCACGCCCAAAATACAGGACTCTCCTTAGCATCCAGGCATCCCCTCTCCTGGTTTTAAAGCCAGTCTTCAAGTCCAGAAAGGCTTCACCCAACCAGCTTCCCCAAGCTCTACAATAATGTGTAACCCAGTAGAAGTTGACTGTGCTGTTGGAAACAGCCCAGCCCTCCCTATCCGCTGGACAGGGATCAATGCCAGGATTGCTTCTTGCAGCAGCAACTGACATACTCCAGCTCTACCTGAGTGTGAAGCTCCAGGGGTTTTTCTAGATACCAGTAGGCCTGTGATGGGAAAGTCTGGGCTAACCAGCAGGCTGCAAGAGCCCCATGGGCTTTTAACTAGGACTACAGAACTAGGTCTGAGGCTCAAGTGGAAGGGCTCTCCATCAAGGAGATGGGAGGTTCCCTTCATGCTCTTTCACTTCGGCACTAAACAGTCCTCTCTGTCCCAGGAGCTTCAGCTCCACACCACCTACAATCTCTAACAGAAAATGCACTGTAGCATAACCTTCCTGAAACCTAGGGCAGGGCAGTGATAATCTGGCTTTACAAGGACTTGGCCAGTGACTCATGTTCACATCGCTAGAGAAAGGACTTGAGAGCTCCCCATCCCCCTCTCGCTTTCTAGCCCACAGGTGGAAATGGCAAGTCAAAAGCTACAAGGGTTTGCTGTGACTGACCAGAGCAAGCAATTCCTGTGTTACCAATGCATGATCCAATTCCAACAAGCATATGTGCTCTGAGGAAGACAGAGGAAATAGTCTGGTTGGCTTTGTATCGGCTCCTTTCAAGACCAGAAATGTCTTACTCCTTTCATTCACTAGCAATCAAAGACAACAGTCGTCAGAAGCAACAAGAGTTAAAAAAAAACCAAAAACAACAAACAAACCAAAACCCACAAAATTACCTACGAAACAGACAAAAAAAAAAAAAAAACACAAGCCCCAAAACAGCACTAACATGTGCCATTAGCAGAAAGCCGTTTTGCTCCTTATTGCAGCTCATGCTGTTTACAATCCCAGCCGGCCAGGGAAACATGAACCTTTCAGTGAGCCACTGGAACCAGAACAGCAGTCTTCACCACCCCCACCAGCAAGCTTGTGCTAGCACCTCCAGATCAGCTGATAAGACCTTGTTTTCAAACTCTTGCTTATGTCTGCTGCAGCTCACCAAATCCATTCTGCATCTGCTGTGCCTGGGACTACAGTGAAACACCATTAAAACCTGTTTCCAGGCTAGCAAGACAAGAGCTAAGCAGCTGGAATGAAGCCAGGACAAGCATCTCTTCCTAGCTTCAGAATCTGATTGGGAGTCTCACTCTATAAAAGACAAGAGCGAGAGCCATTACCTTGCCCTGACAACATGAAGTAGTATTAAAGCAGGCAGAATAATCCCCAGCAGCCAGAGCCTCTGCAGGCATCTGTCTAACGTGAGGGCTATGCACTGGATGTGCCTCAGGAGTACAGGAGATAGCCAGGACACAGCTGGGACAGCAAGTGCCCTGGGGCCACTCCTGTGCACCCTGAAGGGTTCTGGAGTGCCCACCGTTCCCTCCATGGTGTACTTGAGACAGCTGCAAAGACCAGCTGATTGCAGGCTGTAAATCTGAGCTATTATTTCCAGAAGCAAATGGGTCTTGTAAACCACAACAAGGCAGCCAAATTCACAGAAACAAAGCCTCTACCTGTGTAATAAGCAAAGGATCTGTTTTATCTCTGGGTCCCCCAACCAGATGGAATTTTTTGAGGAGCTATATGGCTCTTTCTGGACAAAGGCTTCATTTGCTAGTAAACTCTGACAAGGTCAAAATCTTGCCATGTGTCCTTTGTGCACTGAGAGCCATTTTGGTATTCGGGGTTAGTGCTGTTGTTCCTACCTGGACATTCCTCTGAAACAGCAGATGAGAGAATACACGTTTCATACTCCTTCTACCAATTACAGCAAAGCTCAGCCATGTTTATTTACCCTGCGTCTGAGCTGGCCAGATCTTTGACCCGATGCATGCTTAACACCACCCTCCTTCCCCTCACGCAGAGGCAGGGGTGGGTGCTTTCCACGTCTCAAGGTGGCATGGGAGACATGAAACCAAGGGCACTAGAGGAGACCCTCACATGGAGCCGCGAGAGCGTGCCAGATGCCAGCTCTGCAAGACACAGTGAAGCCTGTGGTTGCTGGTAATTGTGCCGCTGCCTCCCACCATTGTGCAGATTTCTCCCGGTTGCCTGGCCAGATCATTCTGCGGCAACGCCATCCCCCCAGCCATTCTTCAGACACCTCCTCCCAGTCACATCCTCTCTGTTCCAGCAGCTTACCAGCAATTGCCCCCCATCTTCGGTAGGGTGCACCTCAACTTGGGAACAGCTTAGTAAGCAGATTATTAATGGGGGGAAGGTTTGAGGAGAAACATGGCTCTGAAAGTTTGAGAGCCATTGCTGTATGCTAGAAGCTGCCTCCGTCATCATTTCTCCGGCTTTGTCTGGCAGCAGGAGGCACACCCGCTGCATATCCTTGGGACAAGCAAGCCCGAGAAACCCCTTTGTCCTTCTGCAGTATCACTACAGAGAAATTCTGTGCCCACCTGGCTAACTAAGCTTCCCAAGGAGAAAAGTTATCATCAGCTCTGCTCAAAATTGCCCTTCAAAGTGTCCCTTTGTTACAGGACGCCGGGGCACCCTGCCTTGCTCAGTCACCGGATGGGAATCCTCCCCCAGCCCACACTGCAGAGGAGCGGTACCTGGCTGCCTGTAGCAGCTTGTCCAGGGTTGGCACTCCCGGAGGCCCCAGCGCCGCGGAGAAGCACAGGCTGCAGCGATGCACGGCTCCCAGGCGTCTGCTGCGCTGCCCTCCAGTTCTAGCAGAAGCGCAGGCACCAGGCGCTCGGCAGCCAACCACACACACTGCAGCAGGGGGAGGGGAGGGAGATGCAGCCAGGCTCCAGAAACAGAACGGTCAGATGCTCTCCTGGGAGCGCAGAAAGCGCCACGCAAGCCAAGCCCAGGGTTCCCTCCTCAGGGACCGATGGCAGCACCAAGAAGCAGAGCAGAGCCCCCCAAGTTGCCCAAGGGGCCACATCAGACTCCCGCTCAGATGGCCAAAGTCAGCCCTGCCCTACAGCCGGCTAGATCTGCTCCATCCTACACACGATCTTGCGGCAAAAGGTTTCATATCCTGTTTAGCATCACTCTCTCCTGCGTCCCCACTGCTTGACCCTATCCCAGGCCCTAAAGCCAAGCAGTTGGAGCTGCAGAGAGCCCTCCAGCTCTGCGATCACTATCGCTATGCCCACAACAATGGCCCGGTACAGGACAAGATTGCTCAAAGTCCCACTGGGTCAGCACTGCACAGTGCAGAGCTGGGCCAAGCACCGCCTGGAAGCATTCATTTAATCTCTAGATGCTTTACACAGAGAGAGGACAAATGCCACAGCATTACAGCAGCCAACATAGCCAGTCGATTGTTGCTGCAACCATCCCATCCACAGTAACACCCAATCTTCACAGTGCTCTCTACAATATTTCATGAGCATCTGGAGGCATGCTGTCCCCAACTACCTACATCTGTCTGAGCCAGTGCTTCGTCAGGATTCCTGTCCCTCCCAGGCACAGGTTGCCCCAGAGGAGAAAGGGCTTCAGATGTCCCAGGAGGGAGTCCAGCCTTGTTGACACACAGGCTCTCTCTTGCCTCATCTCACGATACACACTTCTTCACTAACAGATCTGTTCTCCCTTCCATTCCCCAGTTCTGGAAGGCAAACCTGGCTGGCTACGGGGTACACACAGTTAAAAAAAATTCACACAAGTTAAACAGCAGGAGTGCAAACACATATTATTTATCTTACTCTGAAAGCCATTCCTGGCAGTGAAGACACAGGCTAATTATAGAGCAGTGAAACCCGTAGTCTATGCCACAGCACCCTGGAAACAGCCATGACTGGGACTTCAGGCTGTCCCACCATTGTCATAAACCCGTGCCTCCCCGGGGGCTCCCGGCCTCCGCCAGCCGTCCCTGCGTGACGGGCAAGAGCATAGGCAGCAAGGCAGCTGGCTCTGCCCGCAGGGAGACCGAGAGGGCAGGAGCCCGGGGACCCGGTGCTGCCCGAGGAGGGCAGGGGCCGGCGGGGCCCCCGAGCCCGGGGCTCGCCCTGGGGCCGGCGGGGGCTGGGTCCCACCCCACTGGCTCCAAAGTCCTCAGAGCCAGCGCCCTTGTCGCCGACCTCGCCGGCGGGCGGGATCGCGCCCCGACAGGCAGCGTT